TTCCAAAATTCATAGAATTGAATATATGAGAATAAAAATAATATTTATACAGTTTCGATTTCGACCAAGATAATACTCTCTGGCCGGACCGCTATTGAAGACGTTTCCTCACAAACACAAACAGAACACCACGTCTGTATATGAATATAGTGACACACATTGAAGTAAAACACACACATTAGAGAGGCCATCTTTACATAAATCTCATGCTTTATCCGCTTTTTTCATGTTTTATATGTTTCAACATGTTTTATGCATACACGACGATTTTGTAAGTATTAATTCATTCCTCAGAACACGGTCCATATAATTTGTAGTTACCTAGATGTCTCGTGAAAAGGTCACAGTGTCCATCCAGTGTGTATCCATACAAAATAAAAATATTATATGCTCTATTCATGCAGGATATATCGGTCACTTAGCTAGCAGACATAGTGAAGTACTAGCAGATTCTAGTCCAGTTTTAACAAACACCCAAGCGGAGGCGCTGGCGAAAGAGACGCCACCTCTTCAACCAGCACCCCCAGAAGTAAAGGAAGAGCCCGATCCTGAGCTATCAATACCAAAGTCTAGTGTACCCAACTACCACACGACTACAATTAAGCAAACACCTACGAAGAATACAGAGGCGAAGAAATCTTGTCGTCATAAAGGTAATTTTATATATATAATCGACTTTATTTCAACCTTTAGTCATAGAAATCGATTTTATTTCAATCTTTTGTCATAAGTAATTAAGAGAGATACAAAAGGCAAGTTCAGAAAATTTTTAACAAGCCAATGAAGATATTATTCTAATAATAACATTTTAAAGAAATCCATAGCCACAATCCGTATCCAAATTAATATTGAAACCTAACTTACAATGGGCCAGCCATATATCGGTTGATACAAATGAACAACCGATAACCAGTGAAGGAAAAACGATTTTTCTGAAATAATGACTTCGTACCAACAAACACAATGTAAGTTTTTAGTGGATACAGGTGATTCAGGACCATTTCTGTGATTATTTCGACGAAACTTGGCTTGACTAACTTTTCATTGAGCTTAATTGACACAAAATATACTTAAGTTCTAGAATTATGGGTATACAATGACGATTATATCTCAACAGATCAATCAAATAAAGCCGAATGGGAAGAAAAGCGTTCAAAAGAAGAGAAACTGGTTGCCGATATCATAGACAGAGTGCGCAGAGAGTGCGAAGCGCAGGGCTCCGGTGGCGCCACCAGGCGAGGCTACACGAGGCGAACCACGGTCATGCATACATAACCCTAGTTCATATATTACTATCTTAATTAATCAAAAGTTCCTTTATGTCGGTTCAGTGCAAAATCTCGTGCTTTATAAAACCATAAGTATAATAATTGTTGCGTACGATTATAAGAATAAACAGACTGGGTAGAAATAACGCGGATATGGGATATTTTCCATTGTGAATACATCAATGTTGTCGAAACGAACCTACTCTTCTTCTTCCAATCCCGTATGAGAGCGTTCTCATATATTTATCGTATTTATTAAATAAAATTTTCGCTACACGACTCACACATTGAATATGTTTCAAATTTCAAAGACATTCAAGTTTGTTACTAATAATTTAGCTCTTAAAAGGAGGAAGGCTATTATGTACCATCATAATTATTATTGAGTCCACGGAAATATCGGTTCTACCTGGATATTTATTCTTATTCTTGACTACTTAACATACAATCTTATATGCTAATTTAGCTATAAAAATTCAATCAATTGTATGTACCATTGAATATTATTAAAAACAAACTTGCAAAAGTAGATAATCCCACTTGAAGTATGTATTCAAGGCATTCCCGTTGTCAACATATCATTTGAATGGCTCAAATTATGTCTATATTCTGTGCATTGTATGATGATGAAAAAAGTAACTATATCCTGTATTCAGAGAAATTTTAAGTCTAACTCAATTCAATAAATCCGAAATGATAATTTTTCATGATGGATTTTTTATTTTCATTTTAGTATTTTTTTTTTATAGTTTTAATGACCTGTCAACCGCGCCATACTATAACGCATAGAGTACGAGTATTATAACATGTTTGAAATGTATTATGGGCCAAGTATACATACGTTACAGAAAATTTAACGGTTCACGTTACAATAGAATCGCGTAATATTATATATTCGCGTATATTAATTAATATAAAAATAGAGGTACTAGAGGAATTTCATTTGATTATATTTATATGACACGAGTTTACATGCGCAATGTAACCGACATTGTATAGATTTTTAATTTATCTCAATGAGATTATGGCCTAATAGTGCGGTCTTAGTATGTGCTCATTTTTGTGCCAAATTGTAAATAAATTGTGCCAATCGTTATCGAAATTAAGGTGCCAAAATTTGTCCACATTGTAAATAATCTTTAATCTATAACGTCTTATAATAAGATATAAGTAAATGAACTGTGCTTAACGTTGTGAAATGTAATTAGAAATAAGTTGGAGGTATTTTAATAGAATTAGTTAAGTTTATGTGAAAACCATGTCATGACTACGATACGGTCAATTGAAAATGACGCAAAAGCTATCTACCTACATAATATTACAAGATCAAGAAAAGTTGATTGTGATTTCGGGTTAAACATAGATCAAGTATCAGTTGGAGTATTGCAGTACTTCCTAATCAATCTTTCTGAAGAAGGTATTCTAAAAGTGAATGTACACTATATATAAAAAGCTACGTATCCATGGTACTGCTTATGTCCATAGGCGACAGCTACCACTTTCCTTCAGGTGGGCCGTCAGCTTGTTTGTCATTCTAAGTTGCATAAAAAAAAGTTATTCAAAACATATTTGGACTAATCAAATATCAAATTTCTTACAATTTTCCTTCATGGATTTATTTTGTATCATAGAGATACAAAATAAATTCTATATTTAAATGATGGCAACACAAACCAAACATGATGGTACATAAATGTTATTTTGATTCACTTTGGAATAATATCAATGATTATATTATCATTTATTGAATCGATTTTATTAAATTTATCACTTTCTTGTCTACAAATCTGCGCGATAAGTACCTAGATAGATTCTGTGCCAAAAGTTATTATTTCATATTAATAAAAACACCAATGAACTGTTTCGTTTTTTTTTTATTTAATGTTTATTAGTTATAATTATTCCAAGCTATGTTGTTATGAATAGTTAGATACGTAATAAAGATAGAAATGTTATTTCATCTATCGTTATACCATAAGTGATTCCGTAGGATTTTTATGTGTATTTTTATAGGTTGATTACTGTTATTTTTTACTGTCGTTAGTGCATTAGATACTTTACCTACATTTGAGTATATTTATTTTATATTAAAAAATATTTTTATATGTTACTTACCTCAATGTGCAATATTTTTTATACTATGTGCAATATGATATTAATAATTACCTATTTATAAAAACGAATATTCGTACATTATGTTTAAAATTAATAAATTATATACACCATGTAACTAATAGTCATAGAAGTTGACACATACCGATTATGTTCTTAGTTTCCAATCAATCAAGGGTTTCTCTTTGCCCGCCAGATGATGTGAGGGCGGGCGAGGTAGGGGCCTCGGGGCGTACCCCATTACCCCGGCTTCTACTCCGGAGGCGACAACCTCCGGGTCGCTGGATTTGCAGCCGGCATACACTGTTGGTCTGTGTATGCCGGCGTGGTGACAGTTTCCAATGTTTAGCTTGATGTATCTTTAATTATCTCTAGAGAACGCTACAGTGATCGATTTCCATCCTTACCATTTAACTGATCTCTATATTTAATTTACATTCCATTTTTATTTATTTATTTTAAATACACCATTGTGACTTATGCGATGAAAAATTGCAGGTAAATAAATGAATAAATTGATTTTTATTACATACGTTTCGCCATGGATTGCAACACGCCGTGATCACGTAGTCGTAGTACTATTTACCTGCAGTATTTCATCGTGTTAAGTTCCGATAGTATATTTAAAATATGTGTCAATAATGCTAAAGTTTAAAATTAACTGCTTAGTTATTTGTTACAACTTGTCGCTAGATGGCGATTCAATGCGTCATTTCAATCGATTGTCTAGAAATTTACATCAAGTTGAAAAATTAATAGAGGCAGGTTAGTTATCGTTTACTGGGTTTTGTTAGCAACTGTTTAAGACATCTTATTTTACAATTAACAGTGATAAATCTTTTTAACTTGCTTACATAAATTCTGATTAGTCTTTTACGTTCATCTCACTATATACTTACCTCTTATAATACTCCCAAAGCAGCCTCGGCAATTTATTTTAAATATGTGTATTATTTTTTTTAAATTGGTATACTTATTTTATTGTAAATACCTACGTGTCAAACTTGTAAAATAAAATATACGAAAACTGTGATGAATGTGGCTCATAAATAAAATATTAATAAGATTGCGCTGTTGTATTATTATTATATTCCAATAGATGATAACGGAATAGTAAACCCATCTGCACTGTCGGTAGGTACTTTACTATTCCGGGGGTATACTACTATGCTGGGGAGGCATCAGTGAGAAATAATAGGCGAAAATGAAAGCAGATCAATTGACCCATTGTGATGAATTCATTAAGAATTAACCAAGACGGTTTCCAGGAGGAACCGCGTGGAAGTCGTTCTGATATAGTATATTGCTAGTAATAGGGCTATTTGAACCTTGTTACTTAAAACCCCTCTCCTAAAAGATAATAATTTACCTATCATCCTTCACTACACTCCGTCACATTTTCATTAAAATAATTATTGGTAATTCTGTACCATAGAGAAGTGTAATTGATCCCTAACTTAGAGAAATAGTACTAAAAAATTGCTGTATTAATACTAATGTCAGCTAATACAAAAACCGGTGTTAGTCTTAATCTATGACAAAAATCCTTAACGTACTTTGCTTTTCTAAATCTTTGAATAGACAGCTACGAGTCTGACAGTGACAAATGACAGTAACATAGTTGATTTGTCAATTTGTTTTGTTGTTCTGAATTTATCTTATTTTTTACTGTTTATAAATAATAGAAGAAAACTAAGAGAAAAAATAATAGATGTAACTAAGGTTTTATAAAAATTACCTAATAATTAATTAACATAGTGATTGTTTTTATCTTTATTGTAGCAGTTTTAATTTTTATATTCATAAAAAACTGGGAATGCCACAACATTTTCAAGTTTTGAGGTGTTATCGGTGTCTTGTATTTCAAGTAAGAGAATATATTTATAAATAACTCTTTTAATAACTATTATTTACAATAGCTGTGTTTTAGATAACGTCTACTTTTTTAAAATTGTATAAAGAAATTAAATCGAAATTTTATTAATAGATTAATAATTTTAATAATACATCTATGTTTTAGATTTAAATAATACTTATTCAATATATATTACCTACTACATTTTATTTTTACATAGAAAATAGTGTTTTTAAATGTCAGTTTATGAATTTAATTGTCTATACATATATCATCATATCAGCCGTTAACTGTCCAATCCAGAACATAGTTCACGGTTCCCCCTATTGGGGGACTTTGTCAGTAGTTACCACACTTGGAAAGCAAGTTAGCAACCGCAGTTAGGCTTTGATGTTTTAAGAGGGACGCTGCTGCCTTCCCTCGCCCCTATTCATATACATAATAGATGCAGTGGAATAATTAGTGAAACTAAAGTAGTTATAGAAATATAAGTAACTAAATAATAGTTGTAGTTTAAAATATTTCAATTTTTATAGGTACACCAGTTGAAGAAGTCAAATAAGTTTGAATGTAAATTATGCGGGGAAAAACAATCAATAAAACGTCATTACGGTTTGGGAACTGGTAAAGAATGCAGGTTACATGTACAAAAACTCAATGGAATTAGGGGAGAAATAGATGAACTAAATAAATCATACACTGAAAACTCTAGTGATGACAATGAATTCGGAAATGTATTAAATGAAGTACAAAATAATAATACATTAGATAATGAATCTATAAAAAGAGGCAACAAGTGGTCAGAATACATTGAAGAACCTACAGAAGTAAACAGTAATGAACCTATGTACTTTAATAATTCTGAAGTTGTATTAGAAATACCAAAAAATGTTACGAAAAAAAGAAAAAGAGTTAATAATATCAGTTACAGTAGTACTTTAAGAAAATCTTTTGATAAAACAGATGAGATAGAGAATTACAGAGATCTAAAGCCATTTGAAAAACCTCAAAATCTTTATTTTGATAGGGCTACCTCTAAAATTGATAATGCAGAATACATTAACAATGATGTAAACAAAAAGAGTAAACCAAGTACAAAGTTTTTAAATCCTAAAATTAAAGAATCCAAATGGGATCAGTACACCGAGAATGATGAAGATATATTGCCATCATTAGAAATCACTAGTAATTTAGATGAAAAATATTTTCAAAAATCTAAAAATATCAATAACGACATAAATATTACTAAACAATGTAAAAATTCCCCATATCCATCTACATCAAGTTTTGAATGTAATATAAAATCTGAGAGTAATGATGATATTCTCATTAAAAACGTTTCAGATGTCGCTATGAACTCTAAATGGGCTCAATATGTAGAGGAAAATATAGAAAATTTTGAAAACTTTAACTCGACTCCGCCAGAAAGCAGTCAAAATAAGCAGTACCAGGGACTCTTTTCACTTTGCAATGATAGTGATTTGGACAATATTTTAGATATTTAGAGTAAATAAATTAATAAAAGCATTAACTGATATCCTGACATCTCATGTTTTTAGTGTATAATTTATTCACTGAAATCTTTCTATTATTTTATGAAAATAAATCTGGTGAAATTTACTAGATAACTAACCATAGTAATTTATCCATGAACTAACTCAATTTTAAGTAGTATGATAGCAACTATATCAACATTATTACAACTTATTAACAATTGTCAACTATATAGTCTACAGAATTTAATTTGTTTGTTTTTTCTAAATAAATTATAAATAGCAAAAAGAATTGTCAAAATTGTAATATAAAAAATTTCTTGTAACAAAATCTTTTTATGGTTCTACAAATAATGTATTTTGGTAAATAGGAAAATTAAAAAAATATATAGCTCTTGAATAATTTTATTATTACAACCAGTACACAGTAATCATCACAATGGCAACAATTTAATATCACTTTATAACCTCTACAAGATAAATAGTAAGCTACAGACAAACATGCTGATTTACTCATAGTCTGGCCAGAAATACATGCACATAATTTTATACATATAATAAAAAAAAATATGATACTATCATAACAAATACTACATGAAACAAGTATCGAATCATACGTTAATACCAATCAGGTGCTCTTATCACGTAAAAAGAAAATAAAGCTTTGCACTCGGGGCATTGCATTATTTGTATTTTGTCAGTTACCAGTTTTTTGTCCACTACTTCGTACACGTGGATTTCAGAAGTAGGAAAGTCATTGAAATAGATCGCTTCCTAATAGTGTAACAAGATGAAACACACCAGATTTTAAATTCGTGCTGTATTTTTTGCGTGATGCCGAATAAATACAGACAGACAGAAAAATTCTAAAAATTATTGACATTTATTGCTCTTATTAAGACCCCTTTTTTATTATTAAATTTATTATATGTATTAGTAAAATAGTACTATAGAGTGAAGAGTAATCAATTCCACTAGTTACGCAAACTTTAGACAAATCGCATATATAAATTACCTACTGGGGCATATAATAATATTATAATGGCAATCATTAATTCGGTAGCTGTCGTCCGGAGATTTACTATTGATATATTGGCTCCAAAATTGAGGGAGTGAGTTAAGCCTGGGTACTATCTTCAAGTCCTACTTTGAAGATAATTCATAATTAAATTATACAATTTTATCATGGCATTCTGTTTTTCTTTTGGCTCGGGTTTTTTAAGTTGCCATTAACCATTTTACAGTTTTGATGAAAGGAAATAAACACAGAAGAAAACAGATGCGTAATTGTTAAATTGAGAATAAAGACATTTATTACACAACCATATATTCTAAAATTTTAATTACTGGCATCACTATTCGCTATGATTGCCATAAAACATTTTGTTAAATTCTACAAGTTTGCACATAGTCTGATCTCCATTCTGATTTCTAATTATAATTGTTGTATCTTTTCACATGTAAAATACTATTAAATAAATCAATATAATGCCTGCATCTGGCCAGGATACACCCCTTACATTCAATATCTCCCTAATCGAAATTCCGATAGATACGGCATATAACCTAAGGTTGCGTACGTTTAAATTTTTTTACAAACAATAATATTTAGAATATTCAATTAAAGCTAGATATTGTTTCATACATATTTAGGTATTCACAATGAAACATAAATAGAAACGACCCTTTTATTTAAAATTATTTTAAGGTTTGGACCAAATTTATATTACGAAACTGATTTCAACTGCCAAGAATGTATAAAACTAGTATCAAGTAATAACTCTATATAATACCATAGTCCTTAAAATTTCTAGCATCAAAATTTTCTTCATACTATTTTCATATCACTTTTACACTATGAAATTAATAGTATTACTTATTTTATAAAAGTCTTGCGAAGCATGCTCATGTTGTAGTTTTGTAAATTATTATTATTAGACTATTGTACGCATTAATTAAAAAAATTAAAGTAATTTTCGTTTGCCCCCTGTGTTGTAAAAAAAAAAGTTCTCCCGTGAAACTTTTGAACATTGATATATGAAATTCATATCATAAAATTCGTAATGTAAATTCAGTTTGACATAAAGAGGAAATTATTGAAAAACAATTATTCATACTTATTAAAATTTTGGATAAGTATGTATATATAAAATAAATATCAAACATAAAAACTAAATAGTTAAATTATTTATTACCATTCTGTATGAAAATCGTAAAATCTTAGACCTTTGTGTGATAAATACAAAAATATGCTATACAAAATTGTAAGAACAAAATAGAAATCGTGTATATAAAATAAAAAAAAAAGTCACTACAAAAGACTGTAGTAAATTTTATAAAACAACGAGGCTACATATACAAAGCCGAGAGTCAGTAACAGTATCTGTAAACTTTTTTTAGGCTTAGAGATTTGATTTTCCTTTACTACTTTATCTTTGGGGGATTCTGCGAGGTCCATCGCAGATTTAATCCCCACATGATACAAACATTCTTAAGTAAATAGGCATGTTTTTTGGTTTGGATTGGTTTTATCGTTATGTATGTACTTATTACAAATAAGTGTCATCCACAGTAGAATCTCTGCTAGTTGGACACTAGACAACGCTATTACGAGAAGCCTGTGCAGTAACGTGACCTATTTAATATTATAGGTCCGAGTATTTCAAATTATTTTCATATTTCAACTTTGTTTACATAATTACTCACACTGGGTTTCGGCTTAGTATATCTTTTCCATTAAACCACGTATATGTATAGATAATAATATACCTATATATGTAGTTAAAATACGATATTCTGGCAGTGATTTATGTAGATAGATATAAATCAACAGATTTCTATTAGAAAAGCTTAATTTGTCCAGAAGAGCATACGTAATTACCAGTTCTAAAATTTTCCACGCACTAATTGATATTAATTTTGTCAACAAAACTATCTAATAATGAGTCGAATATTTATTGCCCGTATTGCTTTAACTATGATTTTTGGATATTTATTTACGATCGATTTTATATGCCAATAACTTATAATATAACACAGCCAAAAATTGATTAAATTTTTCTTTTAATTTCATAAATTAATGTTTTGAAAGGATTTTGCCGATAAAATTTTGTTACGACAATGTATATGTATACTTTGATTAACAATATCAATAGATGTCTGTTCAAAGCGCCAGACAGCCCTAAAAAATAACGCCTCACAGAGTGAGTAGCTATATTTAATTGTATAATATTACACATTATCATTTCGTAAAAGTAAAATTGTAAAGCACATTTTTACACTTTTTTTTTTTTTGTTTTCTATATTTTTAATAACATATTGAAATATGTAAATTTTAGATTTTTTTTATACTGAGTAAGATAATGTCGCTTTTAAGTTGTTTTAAATCGTGAGGCGTTAATTTTAGATACATCATATCGAGTGCCATTTTAGTTAGTTAAACTTTATCTAGATGCTGACTAGGTTAATTGATGGTAGTGCTTGCTTAAAATTTTAGAACTAAATAGGTATACTTTTCCGGATCTATAAATTGTAGAGAGAGGGGCATTTACCTATACGTAGGCACAGAAGAAATTATATAGTATCTAAAGCATATTTTTATCACACTAACAGTGCGATTCTACACTTAGCAAAGATGAAATTATGGGAAGCCCTACATTTCGATGCATATTTTAAAATTATCTTACAATAACTACTTAATTCTGTTACAATACATAGTACTTAAATCACAAACAATCTTTTCCTTGAGTACCTTGACTGTACTGTCAATTTTCCAACCTCTGAAATACTTTCAACTCTTTAAATATGTCTGGTAATAAGCAGACAGATACATAAATTAGATTTTTTTTTTCCAAAATACATAAATAAAATAGACTAGAACGGCATCATGTGGCGGCGACGATGGAGTTCCCTTGCTCTCGCGTAACGGCGACTGTAACTGTTCCATCGCCAGGCCCTATATAAAATGTCGCTATTAAAAAATCAATTATTACTTATTTAAGTATATTATCAAAATGTTGACGACCTTGGTGATCTAGCGGTTTAACACACCGCCTCACTATCTCATGGTCATAGTTCGATTCCCGCATAAAATTTGAAAATTTGTAAGTTTGTAAAATAAAACTATGGCTCACTACACGTTTTGGGAAACTGTAAGTGTGGTGAGTAATTTTCAAATAAATAAATAATTTAGACAAACGTTTATATTCATATGACTTTGCGGATAGTGGACTATATATTTGTTGCTATATATTAATGACTAAATAATGACAGTGAGAGTATATTCAACGCTTACAGCACATTACAAGAGAGTAAAAAAAGGCCGTGGCACAGTGCTGCCACATAAAAAAAATCTTGTTTTTTAATAAAATGTTCGGGTTGCAATTAGTCTGAATGTTTTCTATAAAAAACAGTATATATATTTATATAAAAAAGTATATTAGTATTTCTGTCAGTTATTTAGTATTCATAATACAAAGTCTGCATAGTTTAGAATTAGACGACGCTGTGTGTATATTATTATATATACAGTGATATTTATTTATTTATCTCTTCAAAATAAGAGTGTGTTTGGGCATACATCATGTACAAACTACGGGATGAAATTTGATGAAATTTCGTCTAATAACTTAGTATCAAATATAAGACTCATGGAAAAATAATAAACTCAGTTAATTATTTAAATTACTACATAATTCCTTACTAAAAGAAGTCTAAAAGAAGGTCGGTTTCGATGGATTAACTCCATCGAAACACTATTATTAGGTACCTTCTCACCTTTCGTAACCAATAGGTTCGCCTCTATAAATTTGTTCGTCATCGAATCTTCTAATATAGCTCTCTTCGCTGGGTCCTATAAAATACAAATTATTTTGTTATTAATTTACTACAATGTTATCTAAATAACGGGGCCAATTCTGAAGCGCCATTATATCTTAACCTAAATTTATAATTTGATAATTTCGCAACATTAATGTTTTATAGACAATTATAAATTAAATTTATAATAATTTTGACTTAAATCTATTAGGAAATTAGTTCATATTAGTCTTTACAATAAAAATTATTATTTATTAAGTTTTAGAGATAAATTTAATATAATTGAACCAGGAATTGTTACAAATGATAAATGTGAAAATTTAATTCATAAAAAATAATACCTACACAGATAGATCATATCTTAGATTAACTATGACCAGTGGATTTGCTTGTATATGTATTGTGATGGTAAATATAGGAAACTATAATCTTTCTCAGGAAATGAGCTATCAAATGCAAAAAGATTTTTACATTTTTACGACGTTTAAACAAACTCTTTCTTAGTATAGACTAACACATAAGGTACTTATATATAAATTCAGGCAAAGGTGCGGGATATGGCTAGGTATTTTTGTCGAATCGATGTTTTTATACTACAAACATGGCAAACAAGCATTTCTACAGCCCGTTTGATGGTGATCGGTTATGAACGCCTATGAACGCTGGCAACACCAGAATATAACTCATTGAACGCTGGAAATATTTTCAACACAAAAATTTGAGTTAATATAACTCAAAATTGGAATCATTCCTTCTATTAGGTAGCGTGTTAAGCGTGAAACAAAAACACGTAATAAATGTCCATCTATCCATACATATAAACCTCTCTTATTCTATTTTTATTATTTATTAAACTCTTATATATAATATTAATTAATATAATATATAAGTTAATATTATTACCGTGATGATTCGAATGCGAGTACCGCCGACATGACGGCCCGCGGCAACTGAGTAATTGTTGTAACTGATTGTGGAAATATTCTTTTTCGGCTGCGGTTAGATATTTTACCCTGTTCTGGGTTTCGAACGGATCTGTAGAAAATAAGATAATCATAACGAATATTATTAGACAGAGTATGAAATTAAAATATTATCATGTTTTTAATTTCAATTCTATTTTGTAAAAAGATAAACTTTTATGAAAATATAAAAATTCACATTAATTAAATTTTATTAATCGTTTTTATAAGATATAAATACCATCCTGTCATTTTTATAATGCGAATTTTTAAAATAGTCAAAGATAATCTGCCTTGTGTTAGAGGAAAGAAGTTTTTTTTCCAGTTTCCCAGATAGCATGATAAATATATTTTTATTTTTACGTTACATTGTCCTTTACATAAAAATAAAACAAAAAAAAAAAATCAACCAACCTATTCTCAAATTGTAGTATGTAATGAGGCCAGTAACAAATTCACAGTAGAGCAGGTTATGTGTAGCGTTAATGGTCCTTACACAGTTGTATGTGTTGTTAGAGGCGCTCATACAGAAGCAAAACGGTCCAGCGGTCCACAGAGGCGCCGTGCGCCAATGTTCATTGTCGTGACGGAAACAATTCATACGTTCCGATTCACATAGCTTTTCTAATTCTGCCTGTAAGAAAAATATAGAACTGTAGTAAATGTAGAAGATGCTTTCATATAGAAGCTTACCACAGTGTGGCAATGACTGAATTAACTGTCAGTTTTCAATATTTCTAATTAATTATTTAAAATCTAGAAAATTTTAAATTTCACATTACTTCGTAATTAAGATTAAATATGAAATAAAGCTTTTATATATGTGTGTAATAGATGGTCTTGTTAATAGGACTGTTATCAGTTTGTTTTTTACATTATTCTACAATAGTGAACGAATCTGAATTAATAGAACATAACTTGCCTTCTTTTTTGCTTTTCTTATCTTTTTCCTTAGTTTCTGAGCTTTTAGTTTCCTGCGTAATTCTCTCGCCTTTTGCGCCGCTTCCCAGTAGTCGTGGCTTGGTCCTCTGGTTTTCCTATAAAGATTTATAAAAATATTAACTTCATATTTATATTTTCTCTGTATCTTTAATGCTAATTGTAAGTCTCACCGATTTTCCTCGCAGTAGCAGACATGTTTATCTTCGTTTTCAATGTATAATGGATGTAAGCGTCTTTGAAAACTATCACCACCTTTGTCTAGAAGCCCTTTTAATCTAGACATGCCTCTATTGGGATTTTTCTGTTCGTACTCAGAAGCGTCAAGTCTTGCTGGTCCTAAGTTTGTAGTGTTTTCTATTGTTGGAGTTGTTTGAACTGTTGCTGGTGTGGTCGACGATGTAGTAGTATCAATTTCTTTGACTGTAGTTGATATTTTTTCAGTAGCTAATATTTTGTCAATTTCAGAGCTATAATATTGAGCATTCTGTGATAAATCTATTCGATGTGTCGAGCTCTCGTCTGGCATGTGCTTATTATTAATAGAGACATCATATTCTGTAGTAAACAAATCACCTGTCGTTAATACATTATTTTGAATTGTAGCTTTATCGTTATCCAATTGTTGGCTGTAATTATTATTTATAGTAACTGTGGTGGTTTGGGGACTTAGTGATTCTGTGTGTACATTTAACAGATTCGCCGTTGTATCTTCCGGATGAATAGTTGTGATTAAAATTGTCGTATCATTTTTTAATTGTGTATTGAAAATGTCATCTTTGGTATTTGTATTCATAGTCGGAATAACATATTCATTTGACTGCCGAAATTTTTTATCATATGCTGTGATATTTCTGTGTTTCGTTCTTATTCTGTGCAATCGACCTTTTCTGATATGTTCTTTTGAACTGTTGTGTTCATGTGTTATGTTTGTATTATGCAAATTAACTATAGTAGGGTGCTGCGTCTGTGATTCAACAACAGGCTTCGCAGTCTTTAAATGCCTCTTTATTTCCTTCAAGTCTTCTAATTTTGTACGTAATTGTCGTATTTGGTCTTCTAAGCTTAATCTATTCGTCATCCAAGCTTTTAAATCGTTATATATAACTTGTGAACAATTAACTGTGCCATCTTTTTCTATTTTACATTCTAACGATGATTCGTTGTCGTTAATAATAGCGTCATTTCTATGTTTGTGTTTATTATGATTAAAATTTTGAGCTCTCCGTTTAGTTCTCTTATGATCTATATTATCTTTGGTACGTTCATAAGCTTCAAGAAACGCTTCCGTTTCCTTTATAAGTTTGTCTACTTTTTCGTTTATATCTCTACCTTCTATTTCATCTAAGGGCTCGTTTCTAAAACTCAAATGCCCTATGCTTGGATTTTCTTTAAGGATACCTTCCACTGTATTTGGTTCAAATACGTCATTGTCAATAGATCTACGAGTACGTGTGCTATTTTCTTTATTATTCGGATCTACAGGTCGGCGTGCTATGGTTCCATCTGTTTCTAATCTAGTATAAACAAGTCCGCTAGGCGTAAAACATGCGCATTTCTTAGTACTCATTTTAGGTGCAGGTGTACTAATTTCACCCTGTAAAAAATAGTAAATATTGTGTAAAATCAATATTCTAATTTATTTTAACAGGTACAGTTATAACAATAATATAAATTATATAAGCTATAGAACAATTACTATGGCATATTTCTGAATATTAAAAAGTATATCACCTCATATTTGCATTTATGCCGTCGCCATCTTCCATTCACCAGCACGCACTTCCATTTTCTTCTAGACGAACACGGAGCGCGAAGTTCCGCTTTCGAGCATTCAGCCGCTATACGTGCTGCTTTGCCGTCTAATAGACTTGTCTCGCCTTCTTCTAAAAATAATATGATCTTCTTAATGTTTTTACTAATTCTACGACTTCATTCACATGATTCGTTTATGTAGATTTATCATAATATTTTTCTACTACGTGTAGACGGTTATCATTCAGTCCACTAAAGCGCCCAAGGATTGTTATTTTTTATTAAAAAATTTAACAACATTATTATTTTATTTCTGAAAATCCTGTGATATTGATATTACTATTTAACTTACCATCAAAAAACTTTAAGTAATTTGGTTGGTTATTTGTGCTGCTTTCAGCTAGATCCAGAGCTTTTTCGAGACTCGCTTCCAAGAGTGGATTATGGCTCTCGTTGTTCAGTAGAGGTTCGGAAGACTTCTTTGATTCACTATCGGATTCAAAGCTTTCCTTTAATTAGAAACATACAAAATGTTAGATTGACGATTTTTGTGTTACTCGCCTAATAGAAAACACTGTCTTACCTACATAAGCAGTTAAATCATTAACTATGTTTTTGTAGCACATAATAAGTTATCCTTCAACCTATTATATAATCGAAACAGTTATTGTGACACAGAAGTAAAATAACATGACAGAAAAGACAAAGTCTCCAAATACATAACTCCATAGATAACATTTACCAGACATTGCTTGGGTACTCAAAAAGCAGACAAAGTCTCCAAATAAATAAACATAAAAACATGTATTAATCTCAAAAATAACTCAAAAAATGGAGACATATTTTATATAAGTGTTTGCATTATTTGAATATTTGCATGTCTGCAAATGTCTAGTATTTTGTTTACTAATTTTAATGTAATTACTACCGGTTTAACTTAGTGGACCGAGAAAGCTCGATTAGTTTCAGGACCAGCCAGGACCCTTAGTGTTGAGCGGTTATGCCGCGAACGCGAGCCTATTTTTATTTAGCTTAGTTTTGTTTTCTAGTAGTACGTAAATAGTGATAACCTGTTTTTATATATAGTATTTTGAGTGCAGTTTTATTTTGTCTGTTCAATTTGTAATTAAAAGTGGTATTATGTCTCTTTTCAATGATAAAAAGTATAAAACCTAGACATGGGTAATATCAGTACCGCTCCGATATCTATATATTGGGTACTTCTGGAAATTAACGCCGGAAAAACAGTCATCATCTATTTAAATATCACCTATACCAAGTAAGACATCTCTATTCATTTCAATCGCGTGCATCATTTTAATATTATATATTAGAGAACCGATATTTCATTTTTTTTTTTTACAACTTAGAATATATATATATATATATATAAAATCTTTAGTAATATATATATATATATATATATATATATATATATATATATATATATTGTAACTAAAATATATAGTTATTGTATATATTACCCATCCTTAATAAGATCATACCAGTATAGACTGAAGGGTAGCACGTGAAGGGTACATACGTATTTTAATTTTCGACTTGCTTTGTATTATCTAGAGCAGTAACAAATACATAGGTTCACTCTTACCTCTTCATCGTCTTCATCATCTAATTCCAGGAAATCATCATCATCAATATCGTCATCAAAATCATTGCTCTCGGAGGACGAGTCGTGCGGTACCGCGGTGGTCCTCTCATTCATCTCTCTACTGTACTTCTGACCGCGGAAACCATCCGTCATGTGTATTTCTCGGCGACCAGAGCTATAATTAAAACCGCCATCAACGTGTTGGTTATAAACTAATGGGATTCGGTAGCCATGTTTTATAGTTAAAGTGGGTGGGAAACAAAATTAATGGCATATTTAATGTATGTGTTTTGCTAAACCATAAGTTCAGAGAATAAACATATTCATTTATTATAGTTGTTGTCAATTTATTGTGTAACTTATTCCTGTTTTTCCAATAAAATAAAATTTTAAATCGATATCGATATGACTAAGAATGTAATGAGTTAGCCTCTTAACTTATTGTAAAGATCAATATGAAACAATTTTCTAATACGAGTAGATTTAAGTCAAAATTAGTTCATGATGCCTATAAAACAGTAATTTCGCGAAATAATCAAAATATTAGGTTATGAGATAGGTTTAAACAAAAGACGTTTCAGAATCGGCCTCAATGTCTGTTACACTATACCTGTGTATAGCGAGCGCTTCCAATTTCTCATCAAGCGCACCGTCGCCGTGTTTCTAATTAAGTAAAAATATCCGTAGTAAAAAGATGGTAAAAGTTTGCATTTCTTCCAGACATGAAAACTTTACTCGTTTACATTAGTAATAAATTATACCAGGGCACCAGTTCCTTGCTTGTTAAATATTTAATCATAAAACCTAAATAAATTAAAACATGTTTCGATAAAAATTATACAAAGATGCTTTTACCTACATAATTCGATAGTATAAAGAAGCCTGAGATAAAGTACTTATTAATATTCTTGTCACGCTTATTTCATTGTTACAGCATTTTTATTATTTCTACGGTTAACACTGCTGAACATAAGCCTTCCCCATAAGAGGAGTTTTGCCAGTAGTTGCCACGCTTGGCAGGTGGCTTAGCAACCGCAGTTAGACTTTTAGTGATGTTGAAATGAGAGACGCTGCTGCCCATCCCTCAACCATAGGTTTCCTTATCCGCATTTTACGACACGCACGAAAAAGGAACGTGTGTCGCTTTTTACTTACATAATATAATATACTTTATCTTAGAAGATCTAAAAGGCCAGTAAGTACCTAATCAAGTAGGTACTTTTGCTAATCACAACTTAGCAAGAAGTTTATAAGTTCTAGTAAGTAAACAGTTTTTGTACCGAAGGCCAAGTTTAAGATATATATCGTCATGGTTATTAATATTATTGAGTCATTAAAAAATTTCGAAGTCAACGGTATTGGAATCTGACAATACACCTGTGTACCTAAATTCTAGAATATTCGTTATAAGAATCTAAAAATAATTACAAAAAATAAAATACCTCTCAACAAGGAACGTGTCAGGCCAGTGTGCGGTCGCTTGCCTTCTGCGCCGCGGCTGGAGCAACGGTAGTAGTGATCTTCCATCCATATGAGGAGGTGGATCAACGCCGCCCATATCCAAAAATGTTGGCGCCAGGTCGATGTTTAAAACAATATCGTCCACACTGTAAGAAATAAATATATCTAATACAATTCACCAATTACTAAAAATTACATTGTTGAGATACCTAATATAATTCAAATATCATAGGATAAAATACCCTGTTAATTGTCAATAAGCTTTTACTTGGTGAATAAAGTGTAAAAAAAAGCTCTAAACGTACAGACAACTATAGTACTACTTATCAAGAGTATTATAAAATTTGGTATGCTGGCGACTCTTGCTTACGATCATTTTTATATGTGACCCATGTTATCGTGTGCATAAACAAATAAATTTCAGTTTAGCGTATTTTTTATCAAAACACGATAAGGACAAATTTACTAGAATTGTTGTTTACTAAATTACTAATCTGGCAACCCTAGGTTACTGCCTTAGATTATATAGATAGAGCATCGAGTCTCAAAAATTCAAGGTCAAGGGTCGAGCTTGTTAGCTAATTTTCAAATTAGCTGACAAAAAGTTTTTTGTGTAATTATATAGTGATTTTATTTCATCTAAAATTTTATGTGAATAAAATTCGTTACCAAAAATTAATATTTATGCTGTACTTTTAAAGATGCTGATGGTAAACTGTGTATGGTATAGTAACTATATATCGTAACACAATGAATCTGTATTCTATTACACTTTTCGTTAATATTTTATTTAAAACAAATTTATGAATCTTTAACAAAAGATCGTGACATTATTACAAAAGGAGAGACTATACTTGTATATGTATAAATTGAATAGCTAAAAGTGTTGCTAAGCGCAATACTTGGTCATATCTAGATCAATTCGGCTATTTGTTTTTCGAATATTCGTTAAAGTCCGGAAAAGATTTCATAAAGAGAAAAATTGTCTGGAATAATGTAAAAGCCCCATTCAAACCAATTCAAACATTTCAATTAAATATTAACAAATTGACGTCTGTCGGCTCAGCTAGTAAATACTTGAATTTTAATAGAAAACAATTAAATAGTGTACTTACACAGTACCGGGCTCCACACCTGGTCCACGTACTAGAAACGGTACACGGATATCAAATTCAAATGGGAAACTTTTCCCTTTCACCAAGCCAAACTGCCCGAGGTGGTACCCATGGTCCGATGTGTAAACCAAGTACGTATTATCCAACTCGCCAAGCGCTTTTAGCTCTTGATATACTCTTTCTACGGCCTGGAAAACATTAACTTTATTAAGAATATTTATTTTTAATAGATACGTAGTCTGGAAATCTGCATATGTTTTATATCTATTCACATACTAAACAGATATCAGATATTTTTCTGTTAAATTTGTAGCAATGCTAAGTGTAATAACATTCGAGTTTTGGTATGGCTCTCCCAAGAAGTCTGCTGTTAAAAAACATTGCAATTTTGCTGTAAATTTTTTCATTTGCGAATTGTTGGGATGTACTTAGTCACTATTTTCAGCAGAGAGAGAGACTTTGTGCATAAGTAATCAAGGACATCACAGTGTATTCTGTGATGTCCATGGAACTATTCATGTCTATAAGCATATTTGAAATTCTGAGTATCGTAAAAAAATTTTAATTTATGTATACACTATACAGCTTAAATAATACGTTTGCAATTATAATTCACAAACGAGCATTATTTCTCACGAAGTCTATATCCATTATAGTGCAATATCTGAGCGCGACTATTTCCGATCGCTTAAGCGTTCACATTGGTCTGTGAAATATTGGTTCCTCGAGCAGCCTGACAGATAAATCTCCAATATGCCGTGAGTTGGCTGTCCTATTTCAACTTGCAGTTGTACGTGTGAACATGTACTTAATGAACTCTTTGTCTATCATTTCGTGAATCTTTAAAATATATCGCAAGTGTACGTTGAAATACTTTTAAGTTTATATAGCTTTAAGCTCTGCAGGCTGACTTGACGTAATCGATTTGTAAAAAAACAACTTTCCACTGCTGAACATAAACCTTCCCCATAAGAGGAGTTTTGCCAGTAATTGCGACGCTTTGTAGGTGAGTTGGTAACCGCAGTTAGGCTTTTAGAGATGTTTTAAGAGAGACGTTGCTGCCCATCCCTCAACCATAAGCTCCCTTAGTCGCCTTATACGACACCCACGGGAAAGGAAGAGGTGGCCTACGCGGTGGCCACACACGGTGATAATAATTAATAATAATTCTATGTAATAATAACACTAATAATCCGATAATAGTAATAAATAATAATAATTCTTAATCTATGGCTTTCTACGAAAGAAGTACCTTATATTAATTTCTATTCGATATGAGTCCGTTTTATTTCCATTGCGATTGTTTCATAAGTCAGCCTGCTGGTTGGAAACTTGAAATATAGTGCTTGAAAACAATATGTATTTCTACATAGAAACTCAATATTAGTTCCATTTATAAGATAGCCTTTGAGAAACAAGTTATTATTTAGTATACCTATTACAGTACTATTTATTATTTATAACTGTGATATTATACTAATTATTTAAAACTTAACTTCTTGTTTCTGTGTCCATAATTAAACATAGGAACAAAGGACAAATCTACAGCAGTAGCTATACTCACTGTCTCCAATATAAGACATTGAAATTCGAATATCCAATTCTAGTTGTTAGAAAATATAATTTATAAGAAACTAAAATTTAGGACCATTTTCTCTCATTTCCAAATCAAGTAAAAATATGGGAGACTGCTTTAATGGCAAATACCTATACTTTGAATTCAAGTGCTCAATTTCACGTGTAAGTTTTGTAGTTTCTACGTTTGTTATCAAATAAAGAAAGAGACCTATCGAATGCGCAATCTTCTATATTTAAAATTTAAAAATTAGTTCAATGTGACTGCATATTCGTTATTCAAAAATATCAGTATTAACTTGAATAAAAACTAGTTTCAATTTTTATCTAAACTATCAACTATAGATTTATAATAGTACCTATCAATATAAAACTTTAATAACAAAAATAGGTATAAGAAATGCTATCCGTTTTTATACGTTAAACATGTTTTTTTTTATTTCATTAACCGTAATAGATATCTTAATATGAAAATATTCTGTTTTCAAATTATTAAGTTTTATATTTCTAAAAATAGTTAATAAAATATAAAACTCTTTCTTTTTATATCCTAAAGTCACTTATCTAAGAAATAACTATGCAAAATTGCATTTTAAAAACCTTTAAAATGTTATTACTCTATTTTCACAATCAATTAGTTTATTGGTTGTACGAGAATAATATTTAGAATTGGTCTCTATATTACAAAAGATTCTAACCATATCAACACTTTGTAGTGTTTGCAAACGCTTAGTCATAAGCAAGTCCGTGAATTGTCGATGTATTGGCTTCATCTTCTCCGTCACGCGCAGGATCCACTGCTTGTCAGGGTTTGGAGCCATGTCATACGTGGGAGTGCTGTAACAAAATAGGTCAAAGATATATATATATATATATATATATATATATATATATATATATATATATATATATATATATATATATATATATATATATATATATATATATCGTATACTAGTATGAGTCGATCCATTCGCACTATATTATTCCATCTACACTAGCGATTGCCCACAGCTTTACACGCATGATGTCGTGTTTCCTTTTTTAAGTAAAAAATTTCAAAAATCCTTTTTAGCTACTTACGTTATAAAATAAAACATAGTCAGTCAATATATACAATTTTATAAGTAAAGATACTTAATAAATAGCTTAATTACATTGTAAAAAAATATGTTTCATCAGCAATTAACATAAAAATTCCCTCTCTTATGTACCTAACCTCCTCAGGGAATGAATTTCCAAGAATCCTTCGCCTACCGTTGTGCAAAATTTTATCTTACTTCTAGAATCTAGTTCCACCGGTTTAGACTGTGTATCTGTCGGTCAATAAAGATTCTTGTTATGAAATTGAAGAGTTATATTATGAAGTATGTACATGAGAATTACATTGAAAAGTATCCTATGCATATTATTTAGTACAACTATCTTTATAAACTTTCAAATATATTTATCATAGTAACATATACTGTAGATTTACTTTGTATACTGCAAATAAAAACTCCTTGCGAATTGTATTTTGCAAAGCGGCACCGCCGTCGTGAGTTTTGTCAAGAGTATGTTCCTTTAAAGTTATATATATACAATGTAAAGCATGTTCGCCGGCAAGAAGCCCGTCCTCGGTACAGGTTTGCGACCACACAATATGCCGATGGCTGAATATTAACTCAGTCCCAGATTTGGTTCTCGATGCCCGGTGCATAAGACCAACCGCCGCTCGGCAAAATATATTCATGTTATCTCCCTTAATAAAATGTAAGGACGCTGTAGGTATAACTTTTTTTACTTTTAAACGACTACGTATTAGTATTTATTGATTCGAGAAGTTAATTAAAATGTTTGCTTAAAGAATTCTGTCGATCGTTTCGGTGATATGATTTTTATTCCTTTGACATTTTTTCCTAATTGATTTTTAATTAAATGTGTACGTTATTTATAAATCAAAATTGTATATTTGCTCAGGCACTACATAAACTTCCGACTCTGTTTTTAAATAGTATTTAGGATTAAGTTTATATTTACCAAATATATTTATTTACTCTACTTATGCCGTAAGGGACGTCTTTCTTCACATATTAACAATGTTAAAATTTGTAGATATACGAACAGATGTTTAGTAGTCACTCATGTCTGAACAGCTGACGGATTTGAATAATACATAGATAGACCATGTCTTAGGCATTCTAAATCACATGAAGAGAAGTTCAGAATCCAAATAAAACGTGACATGTTTTGAAAGACAACAAAAAATGTAGAGCTTCCCATGCTTCCTAACTATAAGAGCTAGACATAGCATGTTAATAAAGGAGGTTCTGTGTTTCTCTGAAAAAATGTTGAATTTGATTTATAAAAGAAGCCATGGAAAGATACTAATGATTTCAATTTCACTCTGTATTACGCATATGATACAGCCGTTAACTGACCACTGCTGAACATAGACCTCCCCTTTTGGGGGAATTTTGTCAATAGTTGCTACGCTTGGCAATCGTAGTTAGGCTTTGGTGATGTTTTGTTTAAATGATGTTTGGACCGCTGCAGCCTATCCCTCGACCATTAAGTCCCTCGCCCTCTCTTAGTCGTCTCTTACGACACCCACGGGCAAGGTAAGGGCGGTCTACTTTATGTTGGGACCACAGAAGTAACCCTTATTATACAGTATGTTAAATAAAAAAATCCATTTCTTAAAAATAGTGTTATTAGTAGAAAAAAATTATTAGCAAAAACTAAATAGAAAAATTACAAAAATGTACAACACAAAACATATATACCTATTATTATATAGTACATATGCAGGTTGTTCTTTATTTTCGAGAATTTTATTTATTGATGTTTTAAGGAATAAATTATTTTAAATAACATACTATGTAACCTTAATGCAATCTTGAGTAAGTTATTCTCTGTTATTACCAACTGATGATAATGCACAATCGTTTCTAATTCATAAAAGATCTGAGAAGAATTAGTTCTTTTCTGAAACACTATTACTATGAGACAAACTGCATGAGTTCTTACATACTTCAGGCACCAACAAGAAAACAAAGATACAGAAGGCTTTATTTGCTTTGCTGTATTTACAAGTCAAAGCAAAAGTTTTGCTGGCCATCGTATAAATTATCGGTGATCAGGCAACGCGGGTTAATTGTCGGCACATGAAAGCCTTTACGCGACGTCGCAGATTAACGACATTATGTCCGTATAAAACATGATGATAAATGTGGCTATTCATATTGAAAGAAAGCAATTACATTTGAAACTAATATTTTTAGGTCCCTATAGGCCTTTTACATAAGAATATTTTAAATTCGAAAAGGTAATCTCTATAATTTAAAGTCAGAGGAATTAAATGGAGATGATTCTCAATTTTATTCCATTTTTATGTACGTATTACCTACTTTTTTTTACATAAATTTACATATTTCGTGAAGGAATATAAAAAATGTATTAAGTTACTAGTTTTTTGCCCTTTACTTCGTATGCGCAAATTTTAGTAATAAAATCAATGAACTTACTACAGATGACTACAGTTTTTAAGTAACTTGTTAAAAACCCAACTGAAACCGCATCCAATTTGGTACAGGGGTTTTGCGTTACGTTAGTTTGTTCTATAGACAGACAAAATTTCTTTAAAACTTCACATATATATATTTTTAAGTATATCACTATGTATAGACATTGTCTAGTTACAATTTTATTATATTAGTAAAATAATATTTATCTATTGGATACATTTAAAACAATATCTAAATTCAGTTATCATTCTTAATAATTAATTTAGTTAGACGATGGTCGACCACAATCTGAGGATTCCAAGATCGAATCCCAGACTGGATCTCATAATATTCAAATTCACGTTTACATCATTTATAAGTGACTGTCATTTGTTTATCACTTCATGCCTTGGAGGGCACGTAGAGCTGTCAACGGAAAGGAGAAATGTGTAAAAAAAAAACCGCGCAAAACAGTAAGTACAATATAATTACGTAGCGCACGCAGTTGGATATTTAATAGGTATATTGACGTGCCCCTCCAGAATCCAGATGACAAAAATACCGATGGTTGACGACAAAAATATCAGTACCGTAATGCAATGGTCTCGTTGAGATTGCCCCAGCTACATTATTCTGCGCCTACATCATCCGCTGAATAAACAAGTGAGTATGATGCCCCCAAAATCGTAAGAGACCAGAATATAACGGACAAGTCTAAACATTCTTATGAAACATAAATCAGCCCAGCGCAGTCCCGAGTGGAGGTAAAATTATTCAGGGCGTCGGCCGTAAGTATACGTGAAATTTCGGAATTCTCGCGAAAAAAGGCGGGTACTTACCTACCTACCTGTGGACGAGAGACCACTTCTCTATTTCAAAGTTCCGTATACAAGTGTACTTATTTGTTATAAAATAAAGTACTTTATAATACAGTTCCATTTTGAGATGACTAATTGAGGATTCCAAGAGACGGTATATACCTACATCAGAACGCATTTTATATTTTATTAAAATCGTGTAATATCATAAATAAAATATATAAATGTCTCTGATTAAAAGTTAAAATAAATTGGATGAAATATACAGGTAAACCAAGTCTCACATTACAAGAGGATTATTTTATTCAAAGAACAACTCAAGCATTTAAAAGTGCGGATAAATTATTTAAAAACACATAAAAACTTATCATGTTCTTTATCAATTCTAAGATTTGAAACTAGACCGACTAGTATAATATTGTTATGTGTGCTCTCTTTCCATTTAAGAGTTTCCTCTTGTCGATGCAACTAATTCATGCATCTTCTTCCAGCCAGCTTTCCCAGGCCATATCCTTTATCTCCCTATACGACATGACACCTAGTGTTTCCTTTATCTGTCCCATGTAGTTAATCCTCGGTATGCGTCTTCCTCTTTTGCCCTCTATCTTTCCTTCTACTATACTCTTAAAAAAATTGTCATATCGTATAAGGTGGCCCAGCATTTTGCCTCTTTTATTATTTACATACATTAAAAATACTTTCGAGAAGCTTTAAATAATATGCGAGTAAATATAAGAGATCATCAGTCTCTTCTATTAAATTTGTACAAAATATAATTTGATTTAAAGATTTCACAACAAAGCCATAAACCCTTTAAAAACATATAAATTGTAACAAAACCCGAACAAATTCAGATTCACAACTGGATGTGTCTATGATTTTGTCTACATGACCAGGATAAAAAGTAGAAATATGTCTATGGTATGTTCTTCTCTATGCTAAATATTAAGTTGTAACGCAATTTGGAATGACAAGCTAACGGCCTTAAAATTGAAATATAACTGTGTCAACATAACTGATCAGCTGTGTATATATGCCAAATTACATAGTACCTCGTTGAGCCGTTAAAGGCCAAGAAGACTGTGCAAACAAACAAAGACAATAATGAAAATTTAAGAGAAGACTCAAAACTGTATATTTTACTCGAATGTCTTAGTCCACTCATATTTACAGTGGGTAAAAAGAATGGCACAAAATTTGTGTTATTCATCCTAATAGTTATATATAATATGTATACGTGTGTCGTGGCGGCCTTTAAATGAGGCAGCATTTTATAATAAAACCTTATTATCATGTATTTTAAGTTAGCTTTGTTGGTTGTCCTTAAATAAATAAATAAATAAATCATGTGATTTAAAATCATCATTTGTGCCACAAATAATGTTTATCATCATCTTCATCCTACCCTTAACTCAATTATTATTTAGAGTCGACAAATGGAAGAGAAAAACATTAATATGCTTTTCTCTTCCATTCGCAGTCACATCCGCAGTCACTCCAATTCTGGCTATACCATCTTCCACACACTCCATCTATATCTTTCTAGGTCTTCCTCTACCCTTATAACCAGTCAATGTTATAATGTATATTAAAATTAAATATCTCACAACTACAAGACAACAACATATTGATTGGTGAATGGTTTTCTTAACGTTACTCAAGGATCCCGAAAGCCTCGGTCAACTCCTTAAATATTTAAAGAGGAGCAAGATGGCCGCTGTGCTCGCGAAAACGCCGCAGCAATTAGTGTTTTTATGAAAAATATCAAAGGACGTTTGCTTTAAACTCTTCAATTTTAAGATTTTAAATGATTGTTACTTTAAAATTCCTGCTCCAAAGATTACATTAAACATTGTATTTCTAATTTTTGGCAATACAAATATGTATTAATTCATCATCATCATATCAGCCGTTCTCGGTCCACTGCCGGACTTAAACCTCCACTATAGAATGACACAAGGAAAGGTCCTAAGTCACCTGCATCCACTGACTCTCCAATGCGTTTGAAGTCGTCACTCCATTTAGTAGAGAATCATCCTACACTGTGTCCTTAAAATATTACTAACTACAACAAAATTATCCGAACCAGGACATGTTGTCAATAGATACTTACATGACAATCGGTTACAATTTATTGTCCTTACATCTTACCTTATTTGTAACAGATAATATTAACACATAAAATTTGTTACACAACTTAGTTTTTGTTACTATTTTGTGTATGCTGGAGAAAAATATCAAAAATATTTAATACCTAATTTATAAACTCGTGAGTTTAAGAAGTGGGTTCAGTGAAGATGTAAACACAAAAAGATGTCTACCGTTAATCTTTTAAAAATATTTTTTAAAAATATATTATAATTTTACACAACCTTCAAAATAAATAAATTATCTAAATATACTTACTGATGGGTGGTAACATTGAAAAATAGATGTGAAAATTGCGGTGCGGAATCTTCGGGACCGTGCGGTGCTGGGAACGACATGACGAGCAGCACCGGTTTACGAGTGAACCGCCTCTTGGACGCGCGCAGAAAAGCTATTGAATCATTCGCTATCAGATCTGGATAGTAATCCTATAAGAAAATAAAATCCAATTAATAACTTGGTACCTTTATTAACATTTCACGTAAGCATTTTACAATGTACTCTATCAAGAGTACCTACCTTATTAAGAGTTAAATCTACACTTATTTTGTACCATATTTTTTTACTCAATAAAGTTATTTAAATAAAAAATAAAATAAATATTACTAGTCTCATTCTCGATACGTTATTTGTCAACAATAAAAAATATATAATAAACATAATACTACGTCTATTATTTATGATCCGATTTCAATGTCAAAACTTGGAAGACTTAATACAAAAATATTCTGTACTTTTTTTAACTTTTCTTGTACATTGTGTTGGCTAGGTAGTTTTGGTATAAAAGTTGGAATTGAGCATCAGCAGTGATGATCATGTGATCTCCATGGTGCTGTTCACATCTATGTCATTTTACCACTTTCCATCACATGAACAGAGGGCATGAGATGAGATGAGGTACAGAGGCATAACAAAAATGACAATACATGAAGGCCATCATGGGCGATACAGGATATTCTGTTATGTCCATATTCTATGTACTATAGATTTCTATAAGCGATGGTTATCGCTTTCCATCAGGGTAGGTCCTCAGCTTATTTGCGTTCTAAGTTGAATTAAAAAAAAGATATGCCGTCATCTAATTTGCAATTCTAAGTTGTATAAAAAAGACTTACCCTGTGATAATCATCGCCGTGTTTGATCCTTTTCCCATTCATATTGACACTGTAATTGTAGTACTTGGAGTTCATGATGAGGCCGCCCCACTCGCGCCAGCCCGGCGGGATATATGATCCGTTGTACTTGTTCAGGTATTTTCCGAAGTAACCTGCGGGCAACACAGGGAGTTAATTACTGAGAAACATCTTAGTATACTTGTGATGGAACATTAAAAAATATCTGAAACTTCGGGACAATTATATTAAATTTAAATATCATACGAGTATTAAAATCTTCCTGAGTTTTTATAATTATTGTTTCACAAAAAGCGACTTTCAATGTGACCATTTTATTATATACTATAATATACGGGAATAAACTATATCAATTCTTTACAAAAATAATTTGTGAAAATCTGTTTAGAAGTAGCAATTTTAAAAAATACTAGCAAATTTTTTCTGTCTTAAAATTAGTTTTATTGACTTTGGCTAAATTTCGATTTAAAGTTCCTACTAAAAAATTTTGTCGAAAGAGTATCTTCAGAAGATGGAGTTTTATTATCAATTAAGAATATTTATAACATAAGGCAATCAGTTTGAAACTAACATGTTTCTGTATTTGTTTTCATATTTGCAGTATCTGTGACGATTATGTCAGAGTTATTTTTTTTTCTAATAATAATAATGTTTTTTATTCAACTAAACTAAATTACGAGCATTTTTGAATAGTCATTTTTTATTATTCTATCTGGTATTAATTAATCAATATTTGACACAATCGCCACAGACTATAGCTATAAGTAAGTACGCTTTTTATCAGTACTAAGAGATTTTATACTATTATTAATGAATATTATATATATATATATATATATATATATATATATATATATATATATATATATATATATATATATATATATATATATATAGAATCTGAGACTATATATATATATACGTAAAAGTTTTATTTAAAATTTCTCTCACTTTGTACTGTGAAAAATCTTATATAAAAGGATAAATTTAGTTCAAGATTTTAGTAATATCAATAGGTATATCTTAGTGGGACACATTTATTAAATTAAGTTAGGGTAGCTCCTATGGTAGGTAGTATGGAGAAAGTTTGCTTTCAAATCATCCTCATACCAAAGATTATCGGGCACCATAAATTGAATGTGGGTAAATCAGAACAAAACGGTAGGTAAACTCAGCGAACCCTTATCCAACTTAATCACTAGAGCGAAGCGATTGACTCGAAAAAGGTTTATGTAATTTACATTTGTGAAATACATTTTTTTTACTTCGAATATCCACTTTAATTTGAAATATTTGTATTCTTATTTTAATTATTTATGAACCATAATTCCTTTTTTTGTTGAAGTAACACAACTATGTTTAATTAAATAAATTATTACGACGTTCTTATGTAAAAAAAAATTTTTAAAGAATCACATACAGACTGTATCAAAAATAAAAAAAATATTATAATAAAACAACGAATGATTAATAAATAAATAATAAATCATATTTTTTTATTATGAGCTACAAAATATTAGATACAACTAAAAGAACTAAGGTACATTGACAAATGTTTATCGAATAACACCGTAATGAACTGGAGAATAAAACTCATCATAAGCTCCCGTTATAATTAAAGTGACATCGTGATATTCAAATTAAGATCTTTTAAAATTGGAATCATTATTCAAAAAAAGCTTTGAGCAGAGTTGAATAGAAGTGCCACCAAGCAAGAAATTATTGTTCGCCAGTAGACAATAGTTCTCGAATTTTAATTTCGGTGTCATTTATGCAAATACAGGGAGGATTTTAATTTTCGCGCCAGGCGTGCCGTTTCGTCGAGCTGTCTCCGCCGTCACAGCTTAAATGAAGTGGGTAAAGAAACGATGATTTCTTCAGACTGAAGCATTATACTGCTATTCATTAAAAAATCACAACAATATTAGATAATTCAAATAATATATGAATTTAATTTGATATCGCGACTCCATTCATGACAACTTACTTGACAATTTTCGTACCAAAGCTTTTTCTCAAAAATCTAGGTACGCCATTTTACCTAACACCAAATTATAATTGCAAAATAAAATATATACTTTAGTAAGACGTTTGCAAAAGTTAATAACGTAAAATTTTACGATAAAGTTTACTCGTAAATTTAAGAGTAGTTGCTTTATATCTTCAAATATTTCTATTTCATTCAAAAGCATTTTAACTTGACGGTTAAATGATGTTACATTTTAATTATTTTTTTATAGCTGCCCAAAATATATGAATACATATGAACATAAATTATATTAGTAAGTATAGTAAATTATAATTAGATGATTTTATCGACGTCTGACTGACACCGATAACAATGACATGATTGATGTTCAATTAAATGCATATTACGAGAAGTCATTTTGTAATTCCTTAATTAGAATAGACAGTACTGGGAAAGTTACATTGCGATCGTGTACTTTGTATCTTATTTATATTGATTTTAATTATTTTTTTACTATTGTGAACAATACTAAGGTGGCAAACAAGCATATGGCTCCCTGATCGTAAGCGATTACCGTAGCCTATGAATACCATTGCTTTGGGTGTGAGTTGCCGGCCTTAAAGAAACCTCTTCATTCCTTTTTTGAAGAGTATTATTAGAGTTTATTATTATTAGATTATAATTTATTGATACGAGACAGCCATGTGCCTTTAAATGCTGTCCTTCCTGAACTTCTTAGACTTTCAATGCCAGTTTTACAATATCTATTATGGTCTTTGTTTCGTCTATACTAGCGAAGTTTCTAGCTTCATGGCCATCATTAATTTGTTAAGAGTGTACTCGTTCCAAAATTTGTTTAGCCTAGTAACTTTAGCATCTATATTTCGATTACACGCATTGACTGTCAGCCCTTTTTCCACCAACATTCCGATGCGTAGAGCATTGTTAATCTCACAGCAGTATTACATTTCTGGTAGTTCGAGGCACGAGTATCAATATACATGACATGCATCATGAAATCATAAGACCCATTTAAATTAAAACATTCTCTTTTAAAGCCAATGATTGTTTTTTTTTTAATGAATAATAATGAAATATTTGCCTTGTTGTCCTGGCATAAAATAGGTCACCCTTTTCTTTCCCGTAGGTATCGTAAGAATTAACTAAGGAAAGGCGAAGGATGGGCAGCAGCGTTCCTCTTAAACATCTTCAAAGCCTAACTGCGGTTGCCAACCCTGCTGCCAAGTGGCAGCTACTGGCAAAACCCCCCAAGAGGGAGGCTTATGTTCAGCAGTGAACTGTTATGATGGATGAAAGGCTGATATGATGATGATGAATTGAATAGTAACCCTTCCTGCGCTATATAACTAACAATCCCTTCCCCCCCCCCCCTTTATTATCTAAATATATAATGGATATTTTTATTCCGACTATCATTATTACTGCAATGCAAGGAATTACTTACTTTCTGTAACTACTATAATAAAAACAATTATGAAATATCTGGATAAGTGAGTACATACAAGAACAAAATAATATTTTTCTTTATCTACGAATACTAAGTAACTTTTCTCTTTAACTATCATAACTGTTTGCTGCCTAGATATTATCTTTCTTGGACTTAATATGAAACACTTTGTTGGGATAAGGAGAATCGTGTTGAAAATCTTCTTTTTGCTTAATTATTATGCAGATTACAAAGTAGTCTGCGTAATAAAGTAATAACATTTTTTAATATTAAATTATTCATTTGTTTTATACCATAACATCTTTTGCCCGCAACTTCATTCGCGTGTGGTATTATTTCTCAAAGTCATCACGTTTTTGCCTCAGTCATATAAATTATAGTTGTTGCCCGCGACTGTGTCCGTATGGTGGTTGATTAATACAACCCCTTGACATTCTTAAAACAGTATTTCCAAAAATGATAATATACTTTATTTCTTAGCAAAACACTAAATTTATAACTTGGCCTTCGTAATTTAAAATTAACAAAATTACATACAAATTTTCATCCTTAGAGGTATAATTTCGAGAAAATGCTAAAAAACAATTTGATTTTAATCAAAAGTCTTAAAACAAACTTCCACAGTTCTAACTATAAAATAACAAAGTTCCTATATAAATTTTCATACCCCATTTCATCCATATAATAAATAGTAAATAGTAGCGATAAAAATACTAAAAACTGTTTTATTTATTTATATTCAAAAGTCTAAAACTAAAGTTTCGTACTTCATTATTCAAGTATAATAGAAATCATCCTTTCAGGGGTGAATTCTTCAAAAGCCAATAAACATATTATTGTAATTTTTGCTTTTAACTAGGAGCCTAAAACTTCTAAACTGACAAAATTCCATACGAACTTTCAATCGCCATTTTCCCTCTTAGCGGTTGAATTTTCAAAATTCCTTTTTATTTAACTACACTATAGAACCTATCTGCATAATTTCAAGATTCTTTATTCAGCAGTTTTGGCTGTGTGTTGATATATGGATCTCAGTCAGTCAGTCTATCAGCATCTTGTTTCATATACATAGATAATACAAATCATCTACAATTAAGAAATCCTAATTATCATCATATCAAACGTTAACTAGCCACTGATGAACATAGGCCTCCCACATAAGCGGGGTGGGGCTTGTCAGCTGCCATACCTGGCAGGCGGGTTGGCAACCGCAGTTCAGATCAAATGTATAGAAGTAATATTTATTGATAAGAATTCAATATTTTTTTACTTTCAATAATAATAAAATTGCCAAATATGAAAATAAACATTTTTCATTTAAAAAACCAATTTATTAAAAAAACGTCTATAATTGAACGAGCTTATTACATAAAATATGTTTAAAAATAAACCAGTTAAATTTAATACCTTTAGTGGGTTGTATTGCTACCATAATAAAGAATTTCCTGCACGGTGTACTTCTTTCTTAACGTACTAAGTAATTGACTATGTTTATAGGCACGTGTTATCTCTGAATGACTGTCAAGCAACTGTTATCTGCTTAAGGTGAACTGCAGTGAATCCACAATATGGACGCAAACCATTAAAGATAACATGAGTACTTACGCGTAGTAAGCTAAATGATTTTTAAGCAAATTCTGAATCTTAACACGAAAACTTTTTTAACATTAACTGAAATAGCTTATAAAAAAACTGCA